CTAATCAAAAGAAAACAAACCCTTCCATTTCTTCTCCCGCTGTCCCAAATATCTGTTGTTATATCTATCGCTGACCTGATCAATGTATCTGAATGCTCTCAGTGGACAGGGGGTCAGTGAATTCACACTAGGGAGTAGCAGGCTCTATATGAAAAACTGTGGCTATAGCAATGACCTGCTGTTCTGGGTTAGTAACCATTAAGTCAACCTCAAAACACAAGGGAGACGGCATAAATCCTTTGGGGCAAGGAGTTTTGCTCCGTTTCATATCACCCTAGTGCAGGACTATTGCTTGCAGATGTTTTTGCAGAGCATACAATGCCAATTGGACAAAAATCTGCATTTAAGAAGCAGTTGTTCTGTGAAAATCTTGAGCAAAGGGTTGAATTTATCTTTCCTAAGGATTATGAAGTAGACCTCCAACCGGACTCACCTCTTGTAAAATGTGGGAACAGAGAGTGTATTTAGATTATTGCAGAGTTGAAGCACATGCTGCTAACCGAGATGCAAAGAAGGAATAAACAATGACTTAATGACATGCCTGTTCCACAGAGAGCCATAAATATGGGGAGAAAATTGCTGAGTAAGGCACTAATGCAGCAAATGGTAGAAATGAATCAAGAGGTGGTGCCACCTTTATACAGCGAAAAGGATTCAGGAACAGACTGACCGAGCAAAGAGATGGGGCTGAGACCAATTGAATGGGAACAGTCTTCTTGGATTAAGTGGCCATTCCCAGCACAGCGAAATGCTGTTAGTGAACCTATATAAGAGGAGTCATCTTTATCATGGAGGGGATGAACAGTGTGAAGAATCTATAATTTCGCAAAGCTGCGGTGAACTAGATACCAAACAGGGATGCCAGTAGGCAGGCGCTTTGGAGACGCCTGAAAGTGAGAGAAATCAAGCAGAAACGATTGCAGCCCAAGTTAAGATCACAAACAGTACGCAGAAATGAAGTGGGAAGCAAAGGTGACTTCAAAAACTATATGTGGACCTCCTCTTTTCCGGATCTGACCACTGGGGCTGGGTGAAAATGTCTCTGCAAAAGATTTTGAGCTTTCATGAAATTTCTCATCTGAATCGGGATGTAAAGCGAACATCAGAAAGTGATGAGGGTACTAACAAGCTTCACTGTGTAGACCAGACAAAACACTGTTTTTTAAATTGTGTTTAATTTAAATCTCCTTCTTTTTATTTTGCAAACCTTTTCAGTATGAATTAACTAAAATTGGGAAAATAACTTGCAGATTTTTCCATATAGAAACTGTCAAAACTGAGTGTGTTAGACATTTTGAAAATTGACTTAAAAGCATTTAAATTGAGGGTTTTGGTGTCTTGGGGTTTTTTTAATTAGACTCTTGTAAAGCATGATATAATTTTTGAACAACTTTTCATTTTCTGACCATACCCCAGGAGTGTTTCACTGCAGAATTTCCCAGCTCAATGCTGG